GCGTGTAGAAAGGTGTATACTATTTTTATAAAACTGAAAATAGAATCCCCTTCATGTGCTAGAAATGTACGTGTAAAAAGGTTGATACTATATTTTTTAATTCCTTTTAAAAAGTCCTCCGAGCATTCCTAGTAAAATCAAAGTTAAAGTACTCAGTACGTCTTCTGGTCATTTGGACAGCATCTTCTGAACAAATCGACACAAGAAGAAATCGGGTGTATAGAAGAGACAAACTTTTGAATCATTACTCATCAATCTTAAATCGTAAGTCACTGAATTAGCAAACATGTATCATCACCACCACCACCACCATCATCATCATCATCATCATCATCATCATCATCATCATCATCATCATCATCATCATCATCATCATCATCATCATCATCAGCAGCAGCAGCAGCAGCAGCAGCAGCAGCAGCAGCAGCAGCAGCAGCAGCAGCAGCAGCAACAGCAGCAGCAACAAAAACATCAACAGCAGCAATCGAAGTCGGAGTAGCAAAATCATCGTATATTTTTCTGACGAGTCAAAAGAACTGGTGCAAACTCTATTCTTATGAAAGTTTGCGAGTTAAGGAAAAGTTGTGGACACTTTGCGAATATGAAATAAACTGTGGGCATGAACAAAAGGGAAAGTTAGAATCAAAATATTACGTTTTATCGAAAGGAAACGGAGAAAAATTCGCAAAAGTGATCTAAAGTCATCGATCTGATCTAAGTTTCCCAAAATCAAATGAACCCTTCGTACCTGTCGGAGAGGTGGAAACAGGACAAAGTAGGGGATAGCTGAGTTTGGGTGAAGTACGGTGTGATTTTATGTCACTGAGGCGTTACGCTAGCCGTGAAGGCCGACCCGGGTCACCCCGAAACGTTGTTGGCAAGAGGGGCTCTGGTGAAACCGTGACTGGCCTAGCAAGCCGACGGCGGATAAGTCATGATACTAAAAGAACAAAGGTGAATAAACGGACGGGTTCAAACGTAAAAAGCCCAGGAAAAGTAAATGGACAGCGAGCTAGAACAACGACCTGGTACAGATGGAATGGCCTGAACCATGCATCACAAATTGATTTCATCCTGATACGCAGAAAACAAAGACATACAGCCAAAGATTCGGGAGCTGTTCCTAACTACATCATTGACACGGACCACAGACCTGCAATACTTACTCTCACAACTAGCAAAGTAAAAAAAAAACGACAAAAAAAGAATAGGGGAAAAAACCTGACCAAACTAAGAAAACTGGAAGAACCAGACATCAAGAAGGCAATCGAAGATGTTATTACTAAAGAGTACAATAAGCTGTCACCTGAGACAAAAGACGAAGAAGACGAATGGCAAATATAATACCGAAATACCGAAAAACAGTTGTGGCACCAAAAGAATAGGCGGAAACAAAGGCAGAGCAACATGCTGGTGGAATGACGAAACCAAAGAAGCTATTAAAATGAAAAAGAAGATATTTAAGAAATGGCAGAAGTCAAAGACCGAAGAGGACTATATAGAATATAGGGAAGCGAAAAGAGAGACCAAAAGATTCATCAAAACTGCATGGAAAATATATGACAAGAAACTGACCAATCCTAGAGAGTTTTTATAAAAGTGTGAACAGCATGCGAGTAAGGAAAGACCAATACAACCCGACATGCACTATAAACGATAAAGTGGGTATTGCCATTCTCAGCAAGCATGCCATTAAGAAAAGAAGGGAAAATTACTTCCAAGAACTACTGAACCTAGACGCTTGCCACGGACGACAAGAAAATTTCCATCCATCATATGAGGAACAAACAGAACCACCCATACTTCTTAGTGAAAGCGAAAAGGCCCTCAAAACCATCCCAAGAACAAAGCCCCAGGACCCGATGACATCACAGTGGAAGCCATAGGAGCTTGTTAAAACACCGGCGTACTGTGGCTGGGGAGAATTTTCAATAGAGCCTGGGAGCAAAGGAAATGCCCAGAAGACTGGCAGAAAGCCATAGTGGTCCCACTATGGAAACAGAAAGGTAACAAACGGGACTGCACAATGTGCAGATGCATTTCTTTATTAAGTCACATAGGGAAACTATACGCAAAGATACTAGAACAGCGGATACGACCTGTTATAGAGAGAAATTTGAGCAAAGCTCAGTTTGGATTCATAAATAGAAGAGGATGCATGGATGCTGTATTCGCATTAAGACATGATAATATATACAAGAAAACAACCCAACACAACAAAGAATCCAACATCGTCTTTATAGACCAGGAGAAGGGTTTTGACAGAGTAAGAAGTGGAAGACACTCAAAAAGTATGGCGTCAGAGGACAAATGATAGATAATGTCAGAGCTCTATACACCAACCGCAAACGCTCAGTAAGAACTAAAGGAGGCAATACACACTGGTTCAAAGTAAGATCTGGAGTACGACAGGGGCGCGTTCTATCTCCCCTCCTGTTTATAATATATATGGACACAATAACGCAAGACGCAAGCCAAAGCCCAGAACGCCTAAGTGAACTTTTATTCGTAGACGACCTATGTCTTATTCATCCAAACCAACAAAGCCTCCAAAATCACACTACAGAACTGAACAACAGCTGCGAAAAATTTAGCATGAAAATAAGTACATCAAAAACAGAAGTTATGAAAGTGAACCGAAACCGTTGTCCCCTGAACATCCATGTCAATAGTAAACATCTGGAACAGGTGAAGGAGTTTAAATATCCTGCAGTACTTTTTTTTCTGAAAATGGGTCCATAGACAGAGACATAGAATTACGAACCCAAAAAGCCAATGCTGTCACCTACCAGCTCGCACCCCTCCTATCTCACCCTAACATCTCCATGGACACAAAAAGACAGCTTATCTCCTGAATATTCTTACCAACATTATGCTACCAGTGCCAGACCTGGACATTTAGTAAAACCCATGAAAGCAAAGTCACCGCATGCGAAATGAAATGTCTCCCCAAAACCCTTAACAGCATAAGACGAGACAGGCAGAGAAATGAAGAAGTAAGAGCAGCTATCGGTATTGAGTCCTGTCTGCCTACTTAGAAAGACAGAGAAAAAATGGTATGGTCACCTGTTACGTATTGCACCTGGCCAACCAGACTCGAGAGCCTACAACACCAAGCACCCAGGCTATAAATGAAGAGGAGGGCCACGGAAAAATTGGGTCCAGGGTGTCACGGAAACCCTGAGAAAACATAATATCACAGCTGAAAGAGCTGCGGAGCTGGCCTACCACAGAAAATTGCATCTCCACTCGACGCTTAACGGCAACAGAGGATGAAAAAGTAAAAAGTATGTAAGTACCTAGGCGAGAGAGCTAGTCTAATGATTGCGCTGCACTTTCTCACTTTAAATAAAACATTAATTTGTGCAAGTCAAACGTCTGCGCTTATGTATCCTTTCCCCAATGGTCATCGTCAGACATTGACATGACAGAGAAGCTTTTGATTAATACCTCTCTCTCCCACAGTGACAAACTATGCTGAAGACCGCAACGTTATCTGGAGCCCCTGGATAAGTGTCGGCAAAGCAGGATTCGGAGATGTGGAATCGCTGGGTGTAATCGTAAACAACCACAACAAAGGCACCCTTGTGAGCTGATGTCATTGTTATTTGCCTCCTACACCCACCCCCCTCCCCCAAAGGAAAGCCCTATTCACCCTCTTTCCCGTCCACGCTCTCTTTTTATCTCTCTGTTTCTCTCTGTGTCTGTTTTTTTATCCTCTCCCTCTTTCCTCTTTCTTTCTCTCAAACTCGTAAGTAAAACAATATACAGAAAAATCACATACAAAACAGAGAATCCCATGGAAACTGACATGTACATGGGCTGTGAAATGAAGGACTATATAAAACAAACACTGTAATATAGAAATAGATTCGTATACTTTTATTATAAAGGAAAATAAATATGTATGTATGTATGTATGTATGTATGTATGTATGTATGTATGTATGTATGTATGCATGTATGCATGTATGTATGTATATTTGTATGTATGTATGTATGTATGTATGTATGTATGTATGTATGTATGTATGTATGTATGTATGTATGTATGTACATGTGCGTGTGTGTGTGCGCGTGTGAGTGTGTGCACGTGCGTGTGTGTATGTGTACATGTGCATGCGTTCGCTGTCCTGTTTTCCAGTTTTCCAGTTTTCCATCAACCTTCACGGGGATTTCTTAGGATAGTAGACACTTATAGGAGGTGTAGGCACACTCTAGTTCTGAGAGATGGGAGCCACAAAGTGCAACAAATGACCAGTGATCGTGTGAGCAGTCCAGTAGGGGGTCCCATTGAGTAACGGGTAGCGCGTTCCTTCCACAGTGAGTCGTCTACATCACCAAGCGTAGCTTGCGTTTGCCCAATCCCCGCCACCTGCTGTCTCCTGGCTCTCTGCTATTAACATTTCCGTTCATGGAGCAGAAAAATCCAAAGGATGGACAAATCTACTCAGACAGAGGATCGTCACGTTATGGGTCTGCGAGCATTTGCCAGGATATCTGCAGGGACGTCATTTGTTTCCAGGCAGCCTATTCCTTACAGCTACAAGGCTTTCTGGGTCCGCGGAGACATCTTACGATGAGTCATCTGGCTGTCTGTGGGTACCATGCCCCGTCTGTAGAGCTCCCACGAGAGGGAGGGAAGAAGATGTCGACAGTGAGTTCCTGAATGAACAGGTTGGCCTGCTGTGACGCCAGACTTACCATAATGGTGGATGTGTACGGACCCTTCTACGAGTTCATTTCGCACCTCACAGGGCTATGGTACCTCCTGGTCAGAGCTCCGTCTGCAACCCCTGCTCCTATGCACAGAGCAGGGTTCCCCAGGCTGCTCGACAAGGACGGGGAGTTGACTTGGTTGAGGCTGGCCTGCCAGAGAGCGTCTGGGGTTTCACCCTCAACCCTTACAGCCCTTGTACGGGTGCGTGCATGCGTTTGTGTGTGTATGTGTGTGTGTGTGTGTGTGTGTGTGTGTGTGTGTGTGTGTGTGTGTGTGTGTGTTTGTGTGTGTGTGGTGCAGTCATTTTTATTTCTTTTTCCCAGAAAATGCCTGGTCTGCGACTCTGCCAAAAACCGCTTGCAATGGAATGCAGGGATATCAGCTCTAAACAGCTGTACTCCAAACAAAATCCACACGGCTTGAAGCTTAACGTCGCTTGCCAAAATAACGTGATCAAATGTGTGGACAGGCAGCAAAGAGGAGGTCCAGTCTGTCCCGATTTTGAAGTGCGCTTCCAGTGTATCGTTGCACGTAAGTTGATGAACATAGGAAAGAATGCTTAATTTTTTTGCGTGCTGCCTCTCCTGGGTTTTAGAGCACATCGTCTACGTATGTCATTTCTACTGGTTATAAAGAGGTATTGTAAACTAGTGAGCATGTTTGGAAGTATAAACACAGTGTTATTACACGATAATTCAACTATTCAGGTCTATTGAAAGCGAGTCGGATACATTAGTACTTTCAATGAGTGGTGAGGTAATTGTATGACAAGTGGAACAGTCTCAGGTACCCTTGGAGAAATTCTGTGAATTTTTGTTTTATGTTTTGCCTCTTGTTGTTGTTTTTGTGAAAAGGAGGGGGCAGAGGGTTACCACTCATCTTGTAGAGAAATAAAGAGAGAGAGAGAGAGGGAGAGAGAGAGTGAGAGAGAGAGAGAGAGAGAGAGAGAGAGAGGGAGATAGATAGAGAGAGACAGAGAGAGAGAGAGAGAGAAAGATAGAGAGAGAGAGAGAGAGAGAGAGAGAGAAAGATAGAGAGAGAGAGAGAGAGAAAGAGGCAGACAGAGGGAAGAGAAGGGGGTAGGGACTGGAGAAGTTAAAAAAAAGAGGGAGAGAGACAGGGAGAGATAGAGTTAGATAGAGAGCAAAAACAAAGAGAAACAGGTGAGACAGGAATATATAGATAGATAGATAGATAGATAGATTGAGAGATAGATAGATAGATAGATAGATAGATAGATAGATAGATAGATAGAGATTGAGAGAGAGAGAGAGAAAGAGAGAGAGAGAGAGAGAGAGAGAGAGAAAGAGAGAGAGAGAGAGAGAGAGAGAGAGAGAGAGAGTGAGAGAGAGAGTGAGAGAGACAGGGGAGAGACAGCGAGAGAAACAGGGAGAAAGATTCAGAGAGAAAGACGCAGAGATTGTATTCGTTTTCATGACAATATTCTTGCATTTAAGATGAACTCCAGTGCTCCAATCCTATGGTCCAGAGCCATTGTGAGAAACAAAACCGAGAGTGTCAGGACAAAGTGTACGGGCCGCAGTGTGTGGCTGTACGGCCAGTGAAGACGGGCAAGGAGGTCATTGGTATTGGTACATGTACTCAGGACGGCGTCAAGTACGGTACGGTCTTATGTTCTGTTCTGATTTGCAATTAGTATAAATAACACCTTTAATTTAGTTCCTTTTTTGTTTTGGCTGTTGTTTCAATCGCTGATGTTGTTGCTGTTGTTGTTGTTGCTGCAGTAGTTATTGTTGTTGATGATGCTGATAATCATGATGATGATATGGTGTCCATTAGGTTAAAAAGTTCAACATCTTATTGAACAAAATTTCAAATGCTGAAGTCTCCATCGATTTTTTTTCGTATTTCAATTAATATGATGATGATGATAATGATGATGATGATGGAGTTCAAAGACCATTTCAATAGACAGTGACAACTAGTTGATAAAAGGATAAACCCCCGACTGTATGGAGACACATAATAACTTCTCCAACAATATTAGGCCAAGAAAAAAAACTTGTTTCTTTCCTACCAGGGACGGTCGGTTTTTTCAAGCTTCTTCGAGTGTAACCCTAACGAGTTGTCTAAATGCTGTTTTAATATCATAATTGTTACTTGTCCTTCATGTGTTTGTCCACCAGACATGCACCAGTGCGCATCTAGAGGGGACCCGCATTACTTAACTCTGGACGGCGTGAAATACAACTTCCAAGGCAAATGCAGCTACACATTGGTGCAAATCTGCAATTCCTTTTCCGAAAGCGACAGTTTTCCAACGTTCAGGTATAGGCTCTTTGGGGACATCCACAGCTCAAAAGAGTGGGGTACTTTTTGTTTATTTTTTATCATTTTATGTTTATCTTTGTGCTTAATTGACGTTGGGTTGTGTCGAAGAGAATGAATATAATAATGATCAACTGACATTACTAACGACACAAAAGAAACATTGTGCGAACTTCCTATAAACGTGGAACTGGGTTTGGGTTGGACGTGGGGGATGAGGTGGGGAGGTGGACTCGAAATTCAAACTTTAGTTTTGTAGTAAAGTCAATATTCAAAGTGGAGTATGAAATTAGGGTTACGTTCTACAAAACTTATCAAGCTATTCTTTTAAGACCCAAAAACATTGATATCTTTCACATCCACAGCTACACTGACACTGCTTTTCACATTCACGTTATTAGAAAGGCAGCCACGTTTTGCGATAAACACAATTGTTCCCTTTTTAAACAGCATCATAGATTTGTACAGAAACCTATTTGTATTTTTTTTCT